CAAGGCATTGTAGAAATGCCCCAATCATATGAATTGTTACTGACCTTTTCCGTGGCTTAGTACTTTTCTAGTAAAAGTACAAAAACTCCCAACATTCAGTACAGCCATCGCCCCAGTTACATTGAACCCGCTGTCGGCCAGTTTATGCTGACCTCCATCTATCATGAGCCCACGCGTAGAACTCCTAGCGGACTTAGCCCAGAACTTGCTGTTAAATATTGTTTTGTCAGACCACAAAGAATTCGGCCAGCGTGCATTGGTCATCATTTCGTCGTCTATAAAAAGCTGGGTTATGTCATGATGTATGACAGCCTTATAAGCCCCGTTGTCCATTTTCTCCCATTTCTCGGGCCGTAGAGGCACGGTACCGTCTAGCTTCGTCAAAGCGTTCGGATCACCTCGGATCACGATCGGAGACTCTTCACTTCCGAACTTGTTAGTAATGGTCACCTGTTCGTGGTAGTTACCGGGCTGAATGACACATTCATCCCCAGGCTCTTTCAAGTTGTCAATGCAGTCTTGAATCTTACCCATCGTTCCATCAAATTGGATGTCACTAATGGTGCGTTTATTGCCGATTTGAGAATTGCTGACACTGAATACTTTTCCTGCTACCTGGAGTGTCAGTATGGCGATGACGACAAACGCCACCACTAATTTGCCTGAATGGGAAGCCATGTAGTTGCCTACGTCGTTCGGTTTATTTTCCTTCCGCTTTCTGAGCTGTGGTAAAAACAAACAAACAAACAAACGAACAAAGTAAAACAAAACAAAATGTAATGAAATATTTTCAAATTATTCATTGACAACATGTTTTCAAGGTTTTCCTATCTATGCAAGCTAATTTTTGTGGTTTCCCTCACCAGAGAAAAAGAACTAACAACAATAGCACGCAACACCCTTTAATTCACGTTAAATGTATTAATAATTACATAATAGTACCCACATACCTCTCCCTCCAGTTCCTGGGTCTAATCCCCACCCCACCCGTGAGCCCCTAGCTCATCAAGAATTTAAGATCTCTTTAATTTACACTTGAGTGAAATTTAGGTAATCATGAAACCTTGGGAGAGAACGGAGTTAAACTGGTAATTTGGAATTGACATTTGGACGCTCAGGTCTTTATCCGCGAAAAATTAAGGAAGTTTGAGTGGCACAAATTCAATTAAGTCGTATTTATTTGAGGGGTCTATAAATTCCTGCGTTCAGATCATAATTCATGATGAAAAAAAAAAAAAAAAACACTCACAGTCATAAAAAGAGAAATTATTTGGTCTCGTTTAGTTTTTCAAGTTACAGGCCTGGGGATAGTCTTATTTTGCGAAAGTCTAAATGATTCTTGATCAGAAGAAAATTACAGTGCAAAGCCGATTCTATAAACGGGGAACGACAGCCGAAATAAGATACTTATGAATTCAAGACATGCATCAATTATATCTGACTAGCGGATCAATTCGCCGGGAATTTGACTCTTCCTCTGGAGTGCAACTGAGAATATGTCTGTCGATAAAATGAGCTCACTAATTTTGATTTTGGATGTCCTTGTCTATTTTGAGTAGATAGATCGAAGTTTTCAACATATCTTATTTACTATTCTTATCGATAAATTTTCGAGTACCGTGCATGTGAGTATTTTTCATTTAAAAGGTCATATCCGTGGCATATTTTGAACTTACCGTACGTGAAGGTTCGTCTTCCTCTCCGAATCAGTAATCAACGATTGGCCACCCTGATGTAATTTCCCAGCTAATGAATGGTTTATAAAAGGGAAAACATAACAAAGGAAATCTGACACACTAAAAGTCTCGAAGGTGCGACTTATTGTACTTCTCTGGCACTTTTCAGCAGCTGAAGAACCTCAGCCTCAGAAACAAAGGAAATATTTTTTTCCAGGCCGTGTTAAGAAAGCGAGGTGTTGTCACTTGTCACTAAACAAACATATTACATCGGTCAGTCAACCGTGACTTATTTGTTCCAGAATCTTTGATCGTAGAGCTAATTATCATGCTCAGTACATCTCAGTTCCCATACGATTCTGCCGGATAAAACACGGAAATAACATCCATGTAATTGTCTGTGATTAACTTCTATTTTGCAGCATCATTCTTTTTCATTCAAGTGAATGAATTCACAAGGTAATTGGCCTTCGGCGAAATCAGTGATTCGATTGTTTTAATATTGTTTTACAGTTACAACTGAATAACGAATAGGGACTTGGCAAAAATGTACTCTTGGAATCGGGCTAAGATCTCCTTTGACTGAAATTAAACTTCTGAATCATTCTTTAATCAAATCAGCCAGTAGTGCAAATTAAGATACATTATCAATTAAGAAACATTTCTAGAAGATAGAAACATAAGTCCGAAGACAGGTCAAGATCTTTAGTGTCAATAATCAACCCTCATGGGGATTCTTAATGAAATGACATTTTTAATTTTCTTGACGAGAGATTGTTTATACAGATGCAAACAAAAACCAATAGACAACAATGACTGCAAATTAGGGACCATTTCTTGTTTACCGCCCGGGATAAAGGGTGGAGAGAGGGGAGGAATAAGAGGATTTTAGACAGTTAATGGGCAATCATTTTTTATGCTCGACGACTGACCAGCCTCCTTTCTTTCTGAAAACCATGTGATCTTCCAAAATCTTCTTAACCCCTCCCCTCCGCCCCTTAGTCGATCCTGACCGTTTACTTGTTGAAGAACAGATTTTGCCGTGGGGCTCTACATATTGACTCTTGAAAGAGACGAAGAATTGATCTAAGGAATAGCCTTTTAAATTATTTCTTACCAAAAGAGGATTTTTTTAATTGTTCAGTTACATAGCTTCATATAAGCAGAAGGAGGATTAGAGAACTCGAGAATCCTTCCAACCCTTCAGTGTTTAAAGGAGTTACATGTACAAGTCCATTATTGTATTTTTAAAATAATTCTCAATCTAAAAATATGAAACATTGCAACTATTCAGTTTCCTACTCTAAACAAGCCTATGGACTACTGAGAGAAAACCCATTATCTAAAATATTTTTTAACTTAGACTAAATAAGTCAGATACACTTTTTTTGCAAGAACCATTTTTTTTAAGTCGTGAGAAAATTATTACCTAAATTTATCCGGCGAAATTTGTATATCATATCCGGGCTGGGAGTCGGTAAAGAACGCTTTAATATTGCTCAATGTACGGCTTATTTTCATTATTTTCTTTGCACATCTATGTGATCAATAAAACCAGATTTAACAAGAGTTGGTTGTTGGCTCATTTTTTTCGCGGCCCCGGAACAAGTGACAAAAAACTTGATACCTCATATAGTACATCAATCTAACCAAACACTTTGAAAGACTTCCTGGTCAGGTCTCTTTAGGGATTTATCCAGTCTCGTCAAGTAACCCGCAAGTAACCTCAGCTTCAAAATTAAACTGACGAATTATGCAAAAAGGGTATATTCAGTTCGCAAGCTACCAACTCAGGGCTTAAATTATGCCTTTTCATATTGAAAACTTAAACCTCTTCTTCACGCTCAGCCCATGCAAAGAACTAGAATCTTGCACAGCATGTTATTAAATTATCCTCTGACATGCCTGCTGAATGATAGAAGAAAAAATAAACGATATTTCGAAAGCACGACTCAAAAACTGACCTTAATCAAGTTTTCACATAACTTTCTAATCATGTTTGCCTTGATTGACACTTCTTTTATAACCTAAGTGTCAAATTACCTTAAGGAATAGCGTTATCGTTTACAATCACTTGCAATTGTTTCAGCTGGCCATCTGATGGTATCGCATTCGTCCTCTCCACATTCATAATTAAGATCCATTGAAGCATCAGAAAGGGTGCAAAATTACTAACCATTATAAGAAAATCTCTGACCTGATCCTTTAGAAAGAAATTTATTCATAAATGTTCTCAAATAGTCTTGGCTGAACTCAAGATCAAAGCAACAATAACCTCGACTATGATAAAAAGAAAAGAAAAGACATAGCCTTTTCCAGGCGTTCAGCAAGTAAAACGGTGCGAAATCCTTTCGAAATAGAAAACGGTGTGATAATAGCGGCCGAGCAAAAGACGAGGGTGGTTTGGGCCTAGTCCAGTAGAGAACGGCGTTCTCCACGCGTTCAGATCCAGACTTCCCTCGGTTTTGTACTCCTCTATTGCTTACGCTACGTTTTCTATTCCGTTAACTATCGTTAACTAAGTCCGTCTGGAACAGGCTAAATCAACCCCCCCTTCCCCCCCAAAAGAAAAAGCAAACAAACAAACAAACAAAACAAAAACATAAAATACGAACTTTCACCCTTCCGTATTTCAACAGTAGTTCAGGTTATACTTGAAAAAAGAGATTTTGTTAAGTTCATGCTCTCTTGATTACGGACTATTCTCTAAAATAGTGTGAATGATAGCGCGTGTAGGCTGACAAAAATGATTTGATTTACAAGGCGATTCATCGATAAGTTTTTCGATGGGCATGCACTTCAATATGTTACACCCTTGCCTCTTTTATAACGGCCACCACGCTACATCAGCGTTAATTCTGTTTAAGCAAGATGACCGATGTAATAAGATTCACTTAGAGGAAATAATTAAACATTTTTCTTTTTCTCTTCAGTCGTAGCGACACTTTTGATAACAAGACAGATGGTAGCAGGTGTTCAGCTAGTTAAAGGAAGCTTTGTTAACGAGGTACGATGTTCTCAAACACTCGGCAAAAGGAGAAAGAGAGCTGGAGACAAGCTTGACCAGACCCAAACATCCTCTTTCTTTTTGCGATCTACGCTATCTTCCGCGTCGTTGAGTCCTTTAACTCCTCAGATTAACCAGTATTTAAATTCTCCCCTTAGTATCGCCCCTAAATAAAGCATCAAGGTCATGAGAATAAAGGAAATGATCACCAATCAAAGAGGCTCTTGATTGTTTTTAAAATTCTCTTTGTCAGTGCCATTAGAGATGCATAGAGAGCAGTATGGAGAATAAGCATATTAAAGTCAGCGTGAAACGGGTTAAAGCTGGTGACAAGTAAGTCCACACCAGCACTGACACAATAACGTAGCTCAAAATTTTCACTTAATCATTCGCACACGTCCCGCATGTCTTCGTAGTTCATATGCGAGGAACACAACGATGGAAAGTGATTATACAAGGCGCTATTAAAATGCATTTCTAGTTGCAGCCTGCCTCTTATGCCATGCAAAATGATCTGTCTCGATAAACCGCACATGTGCATGTCTCGAAAACGGTACTTGTTCAAATGAGAACAAAATATGAGTGGTAAAAATTTCTGGTTGTCGGTCCATTGTATTCCGATCCGGTACATCAGCGAACCGAGTAGTGCATCTTCATTTGCAAAGATCGGTGATGTTCGTGAAACATTGACAAGTGCCGGAAGTAAACTTGCACTTATCACATATCCTCCTCCGGAAGCATACGGTTTATAAATATCCGCGGGGTGATCTTCCTCCGAGACGTAGTAGCGACTTTTGGTATCCCGTACAACTGGCATCTCTGTTTGAACTCGACCGGCGTATAGAGGGCGCGACCCGTTGGCTTCATGATAGCTCCTTAGCCAATGAAGAAGATTCCAAATGTTCACGTAACAATCCTCGTCTGTCTTAAGAATATAGGAGACGCGACACTTTTGCTCCAGCGGCCACTTCAAGCTAAAGATCATCTTCATGTTAAGATTACGATATGTATCTTTAAAAGACCCAATCATAATATCTTTGTAGATGTTAGCTTCTTGGAGAACGAGGTCGTTCAATCTGGGGTCAGAGCTCTGACCAATAAGAAATACTGTTTTCCAAGACCTGGAAGAGAAGAAAAAAAATACAATTGATAAATGAATATTTCTATCTCATTTGGCGGCTTGGACTCTGAAAAGAAGCCAACCGTTAGATGCCGAAAAGTGTTTTTAAAATGCTCATCAACTAACTGGCTTCACGAACGAACAAGACGAAACGAATCCTGTGTTGTGCAGAAATGTTTCAGAAATATCTTAATTTCCTTGCTTGCTTCATATATGGATATTGCCGCTACCACAGGAGGAGTAACATCTCCGGATCAACCGATCACTCTTGCTATAATTTCTTCTAGCCTCTACTGGGTTCATGGTGGTTTCGCCTCATTGCAAGTTCACTCCTTCCACCTTTGCGAGTTCGCCCCGTCACCTAAAAAGAGTGTGCCCAGACCTTTACCAGTTGGCCCCCAAATCGTTCGGCTCTTTCCTTACCACAGAACGAATTCATCTCCTGCCAAAATCATATGTTTCGACCAACCTGCAATTTCGCAGCGAACCAAAACAAATTTTGATCAACGCGCAAATTCTTAGCCGTATTTACTAATGCACGACTAAAGCACGAGTAATGCAAAGCCGCCACAGTACTCAAGTGATTAATTTTAGTTTAACGTTTGACGTTTATCTTTTGCTTACACAGAAAAAATGTGAAAAAATTTATATTTTTGAATGATTTGAGTATCTTAACTACCGGAATTATTCGATTAAACGCCGAACCTCGAATATAGGTGCCAACCCTGTAGTTAGGAAAAGATATAATAAGCGCCCAGCCTCGAGTAGTTAATTACAATGTATGCATTCATTTGACGTAGGACGGTTAACCCTATTGAAACCCTGCAAGAGAATATAAAATGTTACCCTCGCACCCGGTTGGTAGTCAAAAGCGAAGTTCATTATGAGGAGGAGTCCATAACTCAAATAGAAATTTTGTGACTCTCAGGCAGCCAGGGATGAATTTGTTCGATGTTATGTTAATTTGTGGAACCGAATATCATTGGTTAGCAAAATTAGGTTATTCAAAGAATTACAGCTGTGTAAATTTTTCAGTTTTTGTCACCTTCTGAGAAGACACTTGAATAATTGAAACACAAATATAGTGAAGTTTTTTGTCTTTCAATTTACCCGCTTTCATCTAAGTTTATTTTTCTGACAAAACGAAACAGGGGATCGCACCTCAATCGACAAAAGGGTTCTATGAAGGAACTATTACGAAGAAAGGACCGTAATGGGAGAAAAGTAATTTCTAGCTTGCATGATTTGGAGTTATCGAATGTTGCAAGTATTGAAAATAAATTAATACTTGTATTGGTGGAGAAAATCCTAGGGAAATTGATTTTAATTCAACTAAGTGCAAGATTCGAGTATTTAGGGCTAAAATCTGAATGATAAAGTTAGAGGTTAAAAAGAGAACATTCGCATTTTGACTAATTTTTGCGGAGAATTTTTCCAGTTTTAACGTACGTAACTCATAATCCTATTCAATACGGCTTAGCTTAACCTTATTTTGTTCCTTTGTTTCAATTCAGATCTTAATTTAAAAGGAACTCGTAAAATTGAGAGTTAAAATTTTTCGCCAAATCCCGCCGGTAAATTTTAAGTATTGACCATGTTTTCTTTCAGCTAGATTTCCTTGTAAAGTGTTTTAACAATCCAATACTTTTTTTTTCTTACGGAGCCTTTTGTTAGTCAAATGAGTGATACTTACCTCAAAGTATAGTTACGGTTAATATCCTGATGATCATGGCCAATAAAGCGTTCCATGTTGCCCCATGTCAACCTAATACCTTGTCGACTCTTAAAATTTGCTGGACTGGAATGGACTTGAATCAGCAGAAAAAGCCCATTATTGCAGACAAAATGCCGCTTACTACGCGAATCCAGTTTGCGGTAAAATAATTCACTCCGAAGGCGGGCTTCTCGAAACTTCTCGCTAAAGTTCCTCGTTGAATAATTGTACTGATCTAGTGACATTTCAAAACTATTTCGAAGATGATCAAGGCTTGTCTTCAAATCGAAGCTAACAGCGCTCTGCTTGGTTGCTTGCGGAAGATTACGTGAAACACGGACTTTGTTTTCGTATCTCGAGAAGAAAATAGTCAATACACCCATAACGCAAAAACACAACATGGAAATCACCAGAACAAATGGCTTCAGGCGCTTGATATTTAGCATCTTATAACTAGTAATAGTGTGGTTATAAATATTTTCCAAAAATCGCAAACTGTCGGGAAATCTCGTCAGTATAATAAGTTTCTTATACAGTTGAAGATCAAAATGAACTCTTTGTTTGATTCCAGCTGGTTTCTCTAGTTTGTCTACGGGGTCAGGAATACTTCATATTCATCTTCAGTAAAGCTGAAAAATTCATCAACATTGTAAACGTAGTCTGGGTGACAGTTTTATTCAGTTTAATTAGGCCAACGTTATTCGCAGGGATTCTATGGATTAATTTGTTATTTGAAATTTAAATGCGTATGTAGTTGATGTAAAGCATGGACGACGAAGTGTGTATTTACGGAAAAATAAATTTGGACCATGGACTACGGACTACGGACTACGGAATTCAGTCTGGGTATGAAAAAAGAAATTGCTCGGAACCAGTGGACTCTGTCAGGGTTCAAAATTAAACTGATATGATACATGAACAGTGGAGTGGGTAGGAAACAAAGTTTTTTCAGTTTTTTACATAACCAAGGCGTTACGAGGGCTGATAAGTAGAGAATTAGCTAATCACACCGTTTGTGTTGTGAAGTGTTTTATCTGTTAAGGGATTTTCAACACGTGTTTGTCATGTTTGATGTCTTTGTGAGGATTACATTTTAATTCCAAGGTTATTCCAGGTTTTTTCTCCAAAATAATCTTGGACCAGAAACCTCGACGATAATTTAGTCACTTTTTTACAATGAACGCAACGCTGCATTCAAATGTTATAAATAGACATGAAAGCTACATGGAGCCAATGTCAAAAAGAAATAAAAATTCAGTGCTTAGGTGACGTTTTCCTGGGCGTTGCTGTCTCGAAATCTTTAATTCACTTTTTCCCAATATCGGACTGGATACTGTCCTGAATGATCTAATGCACCCTCAGCGGAAAATTAAACTTTTATCTAAAATCGAATTGGGGTACCGTGTAGGAGATCTGATTGAAAATTGCAGGTTTTACATTTGTTTGGGGCAGAGGCACCGTGGGTACGTGTTTGAAGAGATACTACAATCAAACTGACTGCACATGCGTGTAGACTTCCTAAACATAAATAAATTTGTTATTTAGAATACGTGCTCACTATACTTTTCACTTCCTGCGGGAGCAATGTGGAATTTCAACTTAGGACTTATCAACACACGATCAAGAAATAAAGGTAATGAGAGTAACGAATATCACATGATCTACCAAGAGATGCTGTCTTGAGGTGCCAACACAAATCTTGACGGCGAACATGAAAATAAATTTAAGGATGACGATTCGAGCCCATTTTATGGGAGCGAAATGTGTTTCTTTCGTTGTCCGATTTCTCTTAAGGGGACCGTAACTCGAAATTTACCCAATAATTAAAATGTGAACTTTACTTTTTTATATCAGTCTGAGCAGCTGAAACTGATACGTTTATTGGTACTTTATATACCTACCTCAATGAGCTGATACTTTGTTGCCCTTTGCCGATAAAATTCTTCATATTTCCCCACGACAACCTGATTGCCTTTCTGCTCATAAAATTTTCCGGACTGGAATGGACCTGAATGAGCAGGAATAGCGCATTTCGGCAAGAAGTGTTAGTTTTCTTCGCATAAAGCTTGAACATCTCTCCATACAACTCCGAATGGTAAAACGATGTGTTTACGCCGAAAGCGTTAATATCATTGCCAAACTCTCCTCCTGATGTTTCGTACTGATCAAGTGTCATCTTAAACTCTCTTCGAACGTGCGAGAGGTGCTGGCTTAGGTGTAAATCATCCTTTCCAAAGGCGGTATCTTGATTTTTTACACTCAGTACTGGACGAAAGAAATTGATAATAACTTTATCCTCGTAATAACTTAAGATTAAATTTAAGAAGCAGAAAAGACCAAGAAGAAACAGCAAAACTAGTAAACGGCGCTTGAGCAGTGACATTCTAAAAAAAACGTGCCGACTTGTCGTTTGGTGATTAACACGTAAGGCGTGAATCAAAGCATGTGCTGTAAAGACCCATTCGATTAATAATAACATACCATACGTAGTATTTCTTTATTCAAACCAACTTTTATTAACTTATTTTTGCAAGATCCAAATTGGTAGCTACAATTCTATGGTTTTAATTTATAGCTCAACCAAACGTTAAAAGACAGAGCGTATACATGAATAGATTTCTTGTATCTATATCCACTTCTCTGGTAGTATCAAAGAGCTGAATGAGTGAGGGAAAACGGACAAGGAAGGATAAGAGGTTAGCTCGTAATTTTGTGTTGATTGGTAATGTCTTTGCCAGAAAGTAAACGATGAAAAAATCAGATTCACGAGAGCTTGATTTGACTTAAAAAAGCACGCATAAAACATTTTGACTTCCTTTTTCAGTGCATTGTGCTTGTTTTACTTTGTGTTTTGTTTACCACCTATCTGTCTTCTTTGATCTGTCATTTTAGAAATTTATGATGAGTGGAGATTGAGCGCCTAATTCTGCCGCTCGTTAAATTTGTTGATATACGTTTTAAAAAAGATCTCCCCACTTGCCAAAAAGAATCAAAATCGGAAATTATCTCTCTTCCTCTCTTGCGGGTTTGAATCAATTACTTTGCAATTTATGTTCTTAGCTTTTTGTTCGCCATTCAATTATTAATTAAAGTTAGCAGATATCCAATCGGCCACATGCTATTTTGCATGGTAGTAGCCCTTTATTATTAGCGCTGCGGGCCGCGCGTTTCTACGCCAGCGGGAAGATTTGAGAGTAGTTGGGGAGAAGTTTGCCGGGAACCTGGCTCTATAATTAGTAATAAAACCCTTGCAGACCACTCGACTGCTCCTTTTACTCAATGAAGGCCTCACACTTTATCGCAGGCGCATAAACGTTCGTGCTGATACACTAATAATGAGAGCGTGTTCACACACCACATGTTAACTTACTTTGCTTCCGCGTGGCATCTCGCGTTTGATTGCTGGCATCATTTATCACCCAGAGCAACAAACAAACTCGTGGTGATCGGATCTTGGATCTGGTCTTAGCCAATCTTCTACATTTTTTGCGACGCGAGCTCTGTACAAACCTTGTCGCCCTTCGGTCTCTCTCTATCTCTTGTCATCCACACGTACTTGCTTCCATGCTACATAGTCCAAGTTACGGATGGATCTAGCGCTGCTGTGAGAGTGGTCCTTTTCGATTACAGTAAGGCCTTTGATCTTATTGATCACAACCTTCTTGTGCGCAAGATCTTTAACCTATCTATCCCCCAAGGCATGACCCTGTGGGTGGTAGATTTCTTGACGCAAAGGTATCAGCGCGTATCTACTCAGAATGAGGGTCTGTCCCTGCTGGTGTGCCAAAAGGCACAAAACTGGGCATCTGGCTTTTCATCTTAATGATAAATGACCTGAGAGATAGTGACGTACATGTGTGGAAGTATGTGGACGATACCACCATAGCCGAAATCGTGCCTAAGAAAGGCCGAGGTAACATCCAGAACGCCGTTGACGCCGTCCAGCACTGGTCTCATGAGCAGAATATGCAGCTCAACGCGGATAAATGCAAGGAATTTACGGTTACCAACGTGTTGCGCTTATCTTTTGATTCAAATGACAAGACTGTCAAACCTCTATCATTATCTGAAGTTTCAAGTCTCACAGGTGGCCGGCTTGGGGTGGGATGATTGCAATAAAACGTAATGAAGCAGGTTTAACCATGTGATAGATTGTCTTTGAATTTCATTGAGAAGTCTTCAATTGCAAATCTTAAACAAAGACGTTACACAGCCTTTGTTACATTATGAATTTAAAAATAATCTGTCTCGTGGTGACTATGACGTGCGCTGTTCTTGGAAAAGAAGGTACGATTTTCCTTTTACTTTCAATAGAAAAAAAAGTTACAGCAAAAGCAAAATGAATTAGATTATTTTGGATAAGTGAAGTGAAACTGTATTTAAAACCTTCATTATATTCATACTCGTTGTCTCAAATAATCTGCTTCGTATCGCTGACAGTTATAGAATAAAGTTACTTGTCAATGTCGATGGGTACAGTATATAATAGATGAAATGATTTACCCGTTGTCGACCATTATGGCCCAAAGTGCTAAAATGCACTGTATTGCTCCCTCGACTTAAGCATTTTTTTTTTAACCAAAACCGAACAAGTTAAGAAGGTCTTCATTTAGCGTAACTGCGAAGTGGTTTTTTACCTCCATTTTGCTAATCAACTCTCGGCTCTTTTGTTCCAACTTTCGTAATATCAGTCCCCATAAGCTTTCTTCACTGGGGAACTCTGTCTGTTTCTATTCACTTTACCAGAATTAATTTCTCCCTTTTTACAGGCGGAAAACTTGCCTGTAGGGATGCTGATCTAGAAAAAAATAAAAAACCATAGAACACCAATTCAATGAAGAACAGTTTCTTCTGATATTTTAGTGCTGAATTGTCCTTCGTTATCTCCACAAGGTAGTAATTTGAGCCTTGAGCAGTGGGCGGGAATTACTCTAGTTTACACTCTCTTAACAATGAAAACACGGTGGGACTTTAGAATGGTATCACTACGGAGGAGGTTACCTGTCTAAATGACATATTCTATGGGTTACCTGCGATTTTAACCCCATTTAGGAACACAGGAATGTTTGAATCCTGGTGCCAAATTCACTTTATCATATTAGAACAATGGAATAAACGCTCTCACACTTTACACTACATCGGCCACAAGCCATAGCAATATGATAAAACTCTTTGACCCGATTATTTGAGTTATATATGTGAAATCAGGCCTTGTTTTAACTATTAATCAGGCCTTATTTTTACTACTGCTTAAGCAGAGCTCATAACTGCGAGGATCCCTTCGATATCCGTTTTTTTAAACTTATATGATTTTCATATATCGACAGTCATTTATTTATCCAACTTGCTAGATATCGGTGATTTTATTGGCCGATCTGAACAATCGGCGAAAGTCACTCAGTGAAGTTTTGGCGATGGTTGAGATCTTTGTACCAAATCGCTTTGA